ATGAAAGTAACACTTCAGGGAATCACACCCGAGCTCGAGCCGCGAAGATCTCCGGGCCTCGGGAGTCCGGATTGAGACGTTTCACCTGCAACCGCAGATGTGGTGCTCAAGTCTGGACTTCAACTTTTGCAAAAGCACTTGCATTGAGACCTCATTCAGTCTTCGGCGTAAATTGCATTGGCTCGCTTAACTTCGGAACCCACTCCATGCTGAGGTTTTCATTCGGCCAGATGCACCTTTTGGACTGGCGGTTTGAGGGCGCCGGGCTTGGAGTTAAGTTGGGCACAAGGGCAAACAGTTGACATGATCAAACTGATCGAATTCTATGGCAAAGCTCATGCCGCACGAATCTGCTGTAGAGCATTTCTGCGCAGTTGTCTCCTGAAATTCAATCAGTTACACACAGCCCCGACAAGCCAACCCCGTTCAACGTAAGGGCTACGCTTCATTGTGACATGTGCCCTTGTGCCCGTGCAGATCCAAACCCTCCTGGTGCGGACCTCGATGAAGCGAGGCTTCCTTAACTTCGGCTTTGTTCCTGAAAGCTTGGAGCAAAGAGTCAGTTCAGTTCTCCATGAATCCATGGCCCATGGCGCCAAGTCATGGCACAAAGACGCTGGGGCCAAGTTGCTGAGCCGTAAATACATTTGACTCTTCTGATCTGCTTTCAGACTTTCAGACACGATTGTCCGACCTAGAATTAAGCCCGGAACAACCCTTGTAAGGCTTGTAGCAGAATTCCCAAAGCCTTTTCTGAGCGGGTGCGTGGGTGAGAACAACCAAGACCGCTCGTCCTGGTCCTTCTTGGCCTTTTGCAGACGCCGGCCCAGGACTCAGCGGCAGTGGCAGTGGACAGAGTTCCTACGTCTCGCGCTTGTGCTGCCCCCCTCCTTAACGCCGTATTCCCAATGTGACTGAAGCTGACTGAAGCTAACTTCCTAAAGGCAACTACACGGCCGGCCGCCGACCGAACCAAGGCTCTGAGTTCTGAACGCTGGTTCCTCGGCTGCCTGTGCTGGAAGGCAAGGATTCGTCTTCGCTTCTTCGCTTTAGCTTTGGAGTTTTGATAAAACGGGTGAGAACCAAACAAAAATTCCGCAAGGCAGAATTTCCGCGTGAAAGACTAATTTACAGTTTAGATTGCGTAGCCAGATGGCCCAAACAAATGATGTCAGAACTGGGGTCGGAATAAAAAAACTGGTGGCAACAACAAATTTCAGGGCCAAAAATCACAAAACAAATTAGGAATGAGGCTTAAGTAATTAGTAAAAGCTCAACCTAGGAGGACCCTAAACCCAGCCAGCAAAGTGCAGCTCCAGACAGTTTTCACTCCATTCTTCAGCAAGCAGCAAAGGCTTCTTAACCAGAGACAAACGCGAAGACGACAGGATCCACCATGCGAACCAAACCCTCGCCTCGATCCTGCACAGTTTGCATCGCCAAGCTTGCGGCTTTTTAACCCTACGTGGCTGAAGCAAGGCGATCCCATGAACCCTGAAGAAACGTTGTGACCCTTCGGCAATATGCCTAGTGCCCCCCGCCTCTGCAGGCGCTCGGTCGGCGACCATCCGACGCTGGGCTGAGGCACCTGGTGCTGGGCCGACGCGCTCATGGAGTCTGGGCTCGTGTTCCACAGTTACGCTTTTTAGACTTTTGTCGCGTGGTGTTGGTGCTCCGAGGTCTCGGGCCTCGGGCCTCCATTTTCTAGATTCTAGACGTCATGGGCTTTAGGATGCCCGTGAATCCGGGCCTCAGTGTTTCGCCGGACTTCGGAACCTGGTCCAAGGCTAGGATTTCAGGAGTGTGAAGTGAACTGGCCGGCTTACCTCCGTTTGAAGCCTGAGCATCGAACCAGCACTTGCATTTTCAAATTTAGGCATCGAGGACTAAGTTGGCAACACAAGCGCAGGCGCTGAACGCGAAGGATGAACTATCGCACAGAGCAGGAGTTACTCGAACTACGCATCAGCCAGCATGCTCCGGCGGCTTCTGGCAGCACCGACAGACCCCAACTCCAGACTCAGCGCCTGTGTCTGCAGGCAGGGCCGGGCGCGTTTGAGGGGTGTCGACCAAGGACTGGCCGGAGCCCTCGTCACCTTGGGAGCTTGCAGTTCAAGCGGAGTCTGCACAGTCGCAGCCTGCAGAAGCAGCTCTAGCTAACACACCAAAGTTCTTTACTACATTACCGTGAAACCAATGACTTCGCCGCAACTCTTGAAGACGGAAAGCATGTTGCAGCGGGTAACGTCGGACTTGGGCCATTACACCTTCAAGCTCATCGAAGGACTTCAGGGGACCACGTTTTGGGACCGTTGACAGGGCTATATATATATATATATATATATATATATATATATATATAGGGCAATCAGACAATCAAAGCTTGTGAGCTCTCGGGCCTATCGCACGGCCCCCACAAGTGGTTCGACCCATCCAAAATCCGCCTTCTATCTCAGCGAAAGGAGTGAGCGCACGAACAAGTAACAAATGTATGCGTAGAAACATATATCAGCCAGAGAAAGAAGCAGAGATAGAGAAAGAGCGAGAGAAAGTACGGAGAGAGAGAGAGAGAGAGAGAGAGAGAGAGAGAGAGAGAGAGAGAGAGAGAGCGGGGGGATGGATGGACGGACGGCTGGCTGGCTGCCTGGATTCCTCCTGGATACATGGATACCATGTGGCTGGCTCTTTTATCTTATCTCTGTTTCTTTTGGTTTTTCAGCGCCACCCACCGCCCAATCCAAACTCATGCAAACTCCCCCCTTACATCCTGGAATTAACACATCCCAGCCTCTGAACGACCGACAACCGGAAGGGCTCTCTGCTCTGAGGCGCAAGCTTCGAAGCGGAGCTTGACACAGCAGCGCGTGGCCTAGAACAGCGCGCTCTTAAATAGAAGGTTGAGGCTTGCGCGGTTCACCTGCCAAGAGGTAAACTTGCTCAAAAAGGTCCGGGATGGAACAACCGCATAACATTTCACAGCATAGTCAAGTAATAATTACACGGTCGAGAATCACGGCTGCCGGTTTTGCATCATCAGGCCTGACCCACGGGATTGGCAGTTTGCGACAGGATCAGGGAGGCAAACAAGAAGGAACGGCAAGTGCCGTGCAGGCGTAGCTTCAAACGACGATCAAACGCAAACTTGAAGCGGCATGATACAGTTGCAGGTCGCTACATGCGCAGGGACCCTACGTCAGGTCCTGAGAGAAACCATTCTGAGTTCATGGCTCAGCGCTGCGGATGGACACTGGTAGCCGCCTCTGTGCTCTTTCACATTTCGGGGGCTCGTTTTTGTTTACGGGGCAGCAGGAATACAAAGCATTTGTCTTGCGCCGAAAGGTGCTGGCATAAGATCTGGTACACACTCTTGCGGTGGGTTGTGGGAACATTGTGAAGATTGTTGCTGTCCGTTCGTGGCTCAATCCTTGCATAGAGTCCAAATTAAAGTCCATTTATCTGTGGAGTGCTTCTCTTGGCCAAGTCACTTGCCGACTGTTGTTGATTCAAATTAGACCTTAATTGAAGGCATCAGTCCCAAGCAAGGCGCAAAGGCAAACCCGAACCAGAAAATGCACTGGGAAATCACCTGGACGGGCCTGAAGACTCCTCGGTGCGGACATCGAGCTCACAGCACTCGTCCATGGGCAAGATTCGCCTTTGTGCCGAGGTGGGCTTGGAACTTGTGCTGCTGTGTAAATACAAGGAGCCCTATGTGTCGGGCCGATTTGCAGCTTCCCCATCTGAGACCCCACAAATCACCACAGTCTCTAAACTACTACAGGCAACGCCACACAGTGTGGCCATCATGCTTAGTCGCTTTCGCCGCCTTTCGCTCTCTGGTGCACGGGAGACGTTACCGATGCAAGACTACGCGGCCACCATCTGGTGCAGTCGTTGTGACGCATCTCTGAGTCACGTTTGCAAACACCCATGGTTGTACAACCCTGAAGCGGTATTTTCGTGCCACGTGCGCGGTTTTCTGTTGATTGGGTGAGTGTGAAGTCCTCCGGCTTCCAGGCGGCTGTGCTGAGCCGGCGGCCAATTGGCACCATCTGCCTTGCCGGTGAAGTCGAAGATGGCATTCCAGAAGTTGCGATCTGCGGGGAAATCTCCAGTTTCAGTCTTGATAATGCTTGATATGTATTTTGGTGCGAGCAGCTCCCTTTCTGGAGCTGGCCGAAGTCAGGCCCAGCATCGTGGATTGGGAGGAAGGTACCGAAAACAAGCAAAGATGAAACTCCCGAAATAACGAAGCCAAAAACAAGGGCACCTAGAAAGGGCCTGCCTTCGAGCCTAACTCATAAGGCCTACAACGGAAGGTCGTGGCTTGTCAGTGAGATCTGGCGTGAAAGCTTCAAAACTAGGGACACAATACAGGCTTTTTTCGAAACTGCCGCAAAGAAGAGTGCAGCCGACAAATGCTGTCAAGACTTTGGAATCGCCTGGAAATCAACTCATGGTGCTGCCGGGTTTCACTTTACCCGCATGCATCCTTGGAACAAATCCAAAGCCTCACCTAGAACTAGGAGTCGCTTTGGCCTCCTTCAAAGAGCAACCTTCGAATCGCAGCTGCCTGTATCTGGGCTTTCAACCAAAAAGTGGCCTGGGAGGACGGAAGCGGAAATTAGCTCTTCTCCCAGCATAGAAGCAGTGAGCCACTCGAAGGGCCATGTCGCTTTGCGGCACTAGTGCAGTTGTGAAACCTCTTGCAGCAATTGCTTCAGCTATTACATGCTGTCTGACAGGCGCCTGCGGTGTCCCCTCTTTGCCCTGTCCCAGCTTGAGACTCTTTCGGCTCTTGCCGCTTGGCCGTTATAGCCATGGGACGACTTGGCTGACCAGGGAACGAAACGAGCATCACACCATGAACGAGCCTTTCTTGAGTCGGGCCTGTGTACGTACTTGTAGCAATCTGATGCTGGCAGCCCAGTGAATCCCACAGCCTCAGGCCTCAGCCCTGTAACAAGGCGTCAGGCGTTATTCGCCGTTCGCCTAGAGCTTCAAAGGTTGAACCATCGATCTCGACACAACCTGGCTCAATGCTTGCAAAGGCTTCGGGGCTCAGGATGCTTGGACATCTTGGACTTTGTGGTTCGGAGAAGGCTTAGTGGTTTAGCATTCGACGGGTTTTTGACCCTAGTGGTTCACCAGCTCAGCCGGTTTTACGCTATCAGTTCGAAGACGGGGGCCGATTCCCAGGTCCGAAGGAAGTTGCCTCGAAGAACCGGGCTCTGCGGCTCTGGGCTCTGAGTCGTGGGCAGAATGAGCAGGCTCAATTTATTGGCGGGTTGAACGGAAACGCTTCCAGGAACCGTGGGCAAAATGCCGACTGAATTATGCTTCAGGCCCTGTAGCAAAACGGGAACGATCTGGAATCAGCCCGGCCTGTCCCGTAGCCGCTGGCACTTCACCTGCCGATCTCCGAGGTACCTGGACGCATCGAATTTTGGCCAACAGGTCGGCGTAGACTCTCACTTCCAATTCAGCCCAGTCCATCATTTGCCCAAAACAAGCGTGCCGCCTACCTGGCCTACCTCAGGCCCGAACGCTCTTTAGAGGCTGAGCCCATAAATGGAAGAAGGACGACACTGCCGCCACAAGCAAGAAGCCACACAACGTTCGAAATTATCCGCATGTGCCCGCCAGCTTAGCGGCTTAGTTGCTGGCATATACGATCGAACAAGTTTTTGTGGCAAGAAGACGTATAAGACGTTTGGGGCCCTCATATAATGTTGGGGAACGACACCTTAAGCGTAGACGGTACACCTCAATTCCGACATCCTTCAGCGTATCGGCAGGGCACGCGATGTTGAGCCGCGCCGTCGGCGAGCTGGCAGGTGGCGGCTCGCCCTGTCAGTGGCACGGCCATCAGAGGTATGTAAGCTCACGGAAAGTCACGAGTGACTTAGTGGGCACGTACCAGCCACGAGATTCCCGGTGCGATTTCAGATCGAACTGCAGACAGGGGTGCTGTTGACTAAGCTGCCAATCTCCAGTCTACGGTGAGTCTTCTGGGACTACGTGCTCTGAACTGCGAAAGGTAGTTTAGAGTTTAGAAAGCGTGCATCAACAGCATGGCCAACGCAACTCCGTCACAGTACTGAATAAAACTGATGGGTTGATTGCGATAGACAAAGCCGGTTCTCCGCTGTGGTAGGTCTGCATTGCTGGCAATTTAGAATCAGAGTGGAGGGGATGACCCTTTGGTGCATGGGCAGCCTTGAATTGCAGTGGACAGCAGCACAGTTGGCACTTGGCGCGTGCAAATTTATGCTCGCGGCGCTTCGAGTGCTGAATATGTTCCGGTACAATTACGAACTTCCGCTGTTTTCGATCTTGCGAACTCCGGAGACCTAGCAACCCACCGGAGAACTGACTCTGTACTTGAATAAGATGTTTCCAGTGTCCCCGGAATCCCAGGGTACGAGCGGGCATGTTTCTTACCCCACAAGACAGAAGTTACCCCAGCCCCCTTGCACAGAAGTTACCCCACGTGCGTGTGCAGAAGTTGGCCCAGATGCCGTTCCCCCATGGCACCGCGGTGTTCAAGAGCCACCTTCTCAAAACTTTTTCGGACTTCACACCACCACACCCTGGAGCCAGCATGTTCCAATTCACGGTTTGTCGTCTTTCCCTAAGGGCACGCCCCACACAAACCATCTAAGTGCGTAGCCCATGTGACACGGTATCACGGTTTTACAGCGTTCCCCGAGGGCACATCGGGATTCGCCAAAGAGAGCTCAACTTCTGTTTCTCGGCTTGTCGTCTTTCCCTAGGGGCACGCCCCACACAAGCCATCGAAGTACTTAGCCCCAGTGACATGGCATCACGGTTTTACAGCGTTCCCCGAGGGCACAGCGTGATTCGCCAAAGCGAGCTCAACTTCTGTTTCACAGATTGTCGTCTTTCCCTAAGGGCACGCCCCAGGCAAGCCATCTAAGTACCCAGCCCATGTGACACGGTATCACGGTTTTAAAGCGTTCCCCGAGGGCACAGCGGGATTGGGACAACTTCCGCCTTGCGGGACAACTTCCACATCTACCCAGTACCTGGAATAGATCGTTTTCGCATGGACAAAGTCTGTGCCTTCACATGCTCAGTAGTTGCAGCTGCACTAGTTCGCCGTCGGGGAAAGGTACTGTCGGCAAGAAATTATCCCAAACATCATCGACATGCTCGGTGGCCGCTCACGCATCATTTTGTAGCCAGGCTTGTTCCGCTGCCTTTTCAAGCATGGTTGCGGCTTGCTGGGGCTCTGTCATTCGCTGAAAGTCGTTGCTCGAAGCAGCACTTCAAGCCCCACTAGTAGAATGTGCCACATATGCGAAGCGCATGCCCGATGATCTGTGCAAGTGCCACGAGGGAGACCCGCAAGCACACCCCAAAACACAAGATCCAATAACCGGGACTTTGTGGCAGCCTTCGCTTCTTTCAGAGCGGCAACCACGGCTTTGCGCTCGGACCACCTGCACGGTTTTCACCGACATCGGACAAAGGCTCAGACACTTCGTGATCCATCATGGTTCCGAATATTGATGATATTGGATGCACGGATGGGCTCTTGGGCTCTAATAGCCTCAAACTTCAGTCCTAATACACTTCGATGTAAGGATCTTGATACCGTAAGCCGTGGCCCAGAAATCGGCATGACCTCGAGTTGCACCGTAAATCCGAATGGCACGTGCAGTAGTCAAACGTGGCTTCCGGTCCTGGTCCTTCGTACCTGCGCATGCGCAAATACCATAAATCAAAAGTGTTGCTCATTCCTCTGGACCTCACATCCGACATCCCAAGCCAATCTTCTGAAAGACTCCCGCCTCCAGATGCATTCCCTGGTGTTGACCGAATGTACAAGTAAACATGGCTTCCTGATGACGTGGATGGAAGGCCAAATGAACCAATGTCTGCCCCACCCCATAAGCACAAGAAAATCAGAGACATCTCTTCTCAGAACAGAGATCGTTGATGGCTGAGGAACGACTCGCCGCAGGTCGCCACACCTGCTCAGTCCTACATCCTTTAGTTCGCACTGGAGCAAGCGAAAGCACCCAACATCCAAAACGCGTTAACGTCATCGGAATCCAGGAAGGCCTGGCTTCTGAGCTGGCCGTTGGCTGCCTGTAACCTGGCAGGGCCGGTGTGGAGCGGAACAGCGGAGCTTGGCCATCAAAGCTTCAGAACTCAGAACCCCCACCAACTAGAACCAGTCTCAGGTCTCACCACTCAGCTTTTCACCAGGTCCGAGATTTGCGGCATAGGCCGTCGTATCCGAGTGTTGGGGTTACGCTTACTGCGACATATGCGGCACCTGTAGTTGCAGTCACACCCAGTACATAACCCACTCCTGATATGCAAAGTGTGCGCTGTTGGCTACCATAGGGTCCTCTGCTCACAGGGGCTTGGATGATCCCTTCTGCCTCAGGACAATCGTTGACATGGCTTGGGGGGAATCTGTGGCAGCAAGCCATGTGCCACTTCGGGTTCGCTGCCTTATGACATCTCAACGTCAGGGTTGCTTCCAATGGCCGAGGCCAGTGATTGAGGGATTGCAAGCTGAAGGCGATAGGGAATTGCAAAGTTGCCGGTTGACATGAACAGAACTTTGACATGGATAAGTCTCTTTGGCACAGCGAAAGAAGTTGCAAACCGCAGCATTGCAAGAATGAAGTCTACAGCAGCGATTCCCATGAAGGGTGACTGTCTTGCATTACGTGCGTGCATAAGCAGTGCAGCCAGGCAAGACCGGCCCGAAGGAAACGTCGAAAAGTCATGTGGCCACATTCGAAGGGTAGCAACGCTGGAATCGGGCCGCGCCTCTCCTTGTCATATCCGCACCTCCTGCGTTGCACCCACGGATCGGGGGATAAGGACGTTTTGTTCGCACACTGCCAGCCAATAATATGGGGTGGGAGCGCACCCTTTGGAGTTTACGGTGCCGGCTGTGAGGTTCACTTCCATTGCTCGAAGTGCTCGGGCGGAAGTTCTACTCCTGCGAGAGTCGCCTGAAAAGCCATGGTAGCCACCCGAAGCCATGAACGTGCGTCGTCAGTCATAGACTGGTGCTCGCGCCTCCGCCCTGCTGTGAGATCCGCAGCTGCCTGCCAGCGAAGGCAGAGGGGTTTAGCCACGTACTGCGGAAGTCACAAACCCCAGATCCTAACCTTCAATTTGGAGGGCCCCACACCATGGCAAACAAACCTGCTACATGTAAGGTCAACAATCGCAATAGTACAGCTGGCAGGCAATATGTATCCTCGCGACCCAAGTTATCAAAATACTATCAGCATACCAATCGACAAATCAACAAACTTTTTGTTGGGCAATCTGCAGCAGGCCTCGCAGCATGAAGTGCACTTCCAGTGCTCGGTGGGTCCTCGGGTGTGCGCAGGGTTTTCAGATTTCAAGGCTTCAGCGATGCTGTCCTTCTTTGCCATTCTCGAAGTGCTAGGCTTCCGATCAAACTTTCAGCAATTTTCGCAGGAACCGGTGCGGGCTGATAAAGCACAGCTTCCAAGCTCGGCTCTGCAGTTTTGCAATCCAGCACTTGCAGCTCGACTTACTTAATCCAAGTCCGGGGCAAAGCCCGGAAAGCTGGTTGTCGTGGTTGCGTGCACAGCATAGTTCAAAGTTTCTGTTCGGAAAGCCTGAGTATTTGTATGAGCTGTTGTCTAAGTCGTTGTGCCTGGGATGGCATTGTGGCGCTAGCGCCGCTTTGGAAGCTCGCTCTTGGTGGTGCCGGGGGTTCGCTGCCGGGACGGCTGAATGCCTGAAGTGTCTGAAGCCTGCTGCTAAAGTTGCAGCCGTGCAGCTGGAACCTTCCGGCTGTCTCCGCACACGTGAAGATCCGGCAACTGCCTCGAGAAGCAATTCGTTTCCTGATGTTCTCCAGGGCGGCAACAGTGCCAAAGAGGCAGGGGATCGATGACAAAACCGAACTGATGCACCTACCGCCTGCCACCCTTGCATTCAAACACACCCTGGCGATCCTGAGAGCGGAAGGGGCGGGCGACGCCACCGTCACAGCTGCATCTCTGGCAGCTTTGGCGGCCTCCAGAGGCAACGCATTGGCAAGGCAACGCATTGGAGGATTTCGGTAGCTTACAGCGTAGCTGCCATGCTTCTAACGGGTGGTGTTTTCGGCTTCGGGGAGTAGAGGGGGACACTCTCGCACTGTGGGACGAGATGCGGCTCAGACGGGCTCGTCTCTGCGGGCGCCTCCGGCAGCCCCCAGTCGCAAGCGGCACGCTGGAGCTCCAGAAGAGCCACCAAGGCGGCCTGGAATGAGTGACGCAACCACTCCTGAACTGGGCAACCCTGCTTCTTGCAATACCTACACCTACATACATCTTTTTTTGTGCAGTCTTCCCGGAACATGAGCACATGGACAATTCAAACGATGGAAATCCCAAGCCCCATGAAACCGCGAAGAAACGTGAGCACATGTGCCATTCAAATCATGCCCTGCTCTGCCTCCCCCGATGGCCGATCCATGTCGCCTCGGGTTTTGGCCGATGAAGACTGAGACATTTTTCAAGTTCAGGTGCCAGTGGAGTTTGGGCGACGAATGACAGGACTCATGCAACCAAGATACGTTGGGGAGCATGGTTGCAAAATCGACTTTCCAGGGAAACTGGTGTTCGAGGTTTGGACTTGACGTTCTCCAAAGTATTGGAAGGTATAAACCAGCGGTATCATCTCAATCTGTGGGAGTTGGAATTGCGGTTCCTTTTCGATTCATGTCGGTTGTGGTCAAGCTGATTGCAGCATTTTCAAGTGCAAGAGTGCAAAGCACAGAACCAAACTCATGGCCTGGCCATGAACTCCTGCAGGCAACTGAAGATGGAAGCCCAAGTAACATCCGCGAAACTCAAACGCCGCTGCCTAAGAACAAGGATGTGAGTTCAAAGTGCGGCAATTGAACTGCTGCTGAATTTAAAGCTTTAGTCACGATGAACCTCCAAAGCATGTCGGATCATGACTAGAGAGTGGGTCCAGGAAGTCACCCAGCAGTCAATCTTCCACTTCCCAACAGTGTCGAGATGCTCCCCCGGGGCTCCAAGGTGACATCGCTGAAATTCAAGGGCCCCTGGCTGTGTCTTGCTTGTTTCAAGAGCCTCAGGTCTGCTTTGGGCTACTTCTTCCAAGCTTCGCGCTTTCCAGCTTTAGTGCATGTGATGCAAGCTTGCAGTACATCGGCATGTGAAGGCGAGCGGGTACGGGAAGTAAGGGGAACCGCTTTGGGGAGTAACGGAAACCAGCTCTGCACACCGTAACAGAAGCGGCGCGAGTAGAAACAGGAACCACGTAACGGAAGCTATCCCTCGAAAGCCCAGCAGCAGAAACTATGTTGGAACTCTTCTGTGGGGACCCAGTTTTCGGTCCCCTACTTTGCGATCATGAAAGCCTTGTGCTCACCACCTACACTTCTCTGTTCAGATAGAGTATTATGGAGCATAGGGTTCGATAAGATTCACGGTTCGGGACAAGGATGGTTCAGGATTGGAGGCTTGTTGCTAAAGTTCATCCAAAGCAACCCTCGTCGTGAAGTTCTAGTGGCCGGAGTCGGCCAGAGCTGCATAATGTGGGGAAGGCACGCAGGAATTAGGAATTGTAGGTCTGAATCCCTCTACGTGGGGACCGGAAAGCCGTCCTTGAGTGGGGGAGCCGGCCAGTTACGGTGTTGGGCTCCGTTCCTGTTACGGGTTCCCCTTGCGGACAGCCTGTTACATCCGCAGCTTGTCCTTCAAGAGGTTAAATATCAAGCCCTGGATCGTAGATTCCCAGCCTCTCAAACCTCTGGAAAGGCACAAGTGTCACAACACTCTAGCAAACGTGCAGCTCTCCAACTGCATAGACTCGGGTACTGCTTCGTGGATACACATCTGAAGCTTCAACTAGCACTTCACGTCACCCCTCTACCTCTCAGCCAACATGTGTCAGGATTCTGCGATCATTCGCTGAATATCCTTGGTAGGGCCTCGCTGGGCTTGGTGATCTCGGCCGGCAGGACTGGCGAGGCAAACCTGTGCGACTTGATTGAGCCCTTGCATGAGCAAGCACCCTCCCGAAGAAGCCAGAAAACCTTTGGAGGTAATTTGGATCATGTTTAAACGCAAGGGACCAAAGTCAAGCCGAATCTTGGAATCACATTGGCCCAGGAAGGACTTCAAGAGCCACAGGGTGATGACCACATCACATCGACAGAATTGAAATCCCCGAGGCTCAATTTCTTCCAGCCCCGGAATAAACGGGATCGCGTCTAGTCTAGAGCTAGCAGGCGAAGGCGACATGTGAGAACTGCACAGTTCAGAGCCAAACAGATAGCTTCGCCCAGCCGCAAACTCCTGAAGCTTCTAGGCCAAAACCGATTCCGTCACGCCCCACTTCTCGCCACGTTGCAGGGGCTCTTTGTCTGGGCAGGCTTGGAAGGCAATGGGTATCGGAAGAGGTCTGCGGAGCCTTGGAAGGAGTCCAGGGCACTGAGCTTGGTCAAAGTCAGAACTGTTGCGGTCTTCTCCAAGTTTAGGAGGCTTCTCTGATTTCGTCAAACCGGTTTCAGGCACTCGCTCTTGGAGCCAGGCGAGGTTCGGACAGAGCGTTCAGGGTGATGCGAGCCAACACTTTCAGATTTTGCGTGGCTGCTGGATCTAACAGGAAAGCTGAGGAACTCCACTTCCTCCTTCAAGATGGATGCTGTCCAGTCATGGATGCTCCCATGCCAACGTCTGGAGGGTTCTTCTTGCTCAAACCAAAGATGTGTGGAAGAAGGGCTCGGGATGACGCCTCTTTGGAGATCCCCAATGACCCACGCAAGGTTTGTGGGTTTGAAAGCTCAAACCGATGCTCAACTCAGGACCTTCAGCCGTAATGTACTATCCACTGAATCTAGTTCTCATAGGCAAATAACCACACAGCAAATGCCAAACCGCGCCACCTGACCATGCTCGGCTGGTGCTGGATGGGCATTTCCTGCCAAATTCGTTCATGCCTACGGGGCAGCGACTTGTGAGGACTACCTTGAACATAAACCCGAAGCTCTACAGCCGGTTGAAGCACCAGCAAAAGCAACACGAGCGGGAAGTAGAGAAACTCTTCCACAGCAAACCTCTCTCCTGAAATTTCCGTTCTAACTTCTCATATCTCCTAGCTGTGACAAGGCCTGAGCACCATGTGATCAGCAGTTTTCTTTCGGTCGCGGAGAACCCAAATCCCTGAACCCAACCCCTCAAGGACCTCGGGAGTCAGCCCGATTTCGGGAAGGATGTCGTGCTCTGCCTCGAGACGTAGTTTAGCTTGTCCTAGGCTTAGAAAGGCCATTACATGCCATTACCTAAGTTAGCGCTCCATTGTAAGCATGCAGCCAAGCAGCAACTACGCAAACAACACCGTAAAGCAGTTCAAAACAAAGGCATCGACCCCCCCATCCCCGACTCCCCTCAATTTCGGCCCGAAGCGTCGCCTTCTGCATGGTCTGCTAGATTTGTCAGATTGTTCCCGACGGAATATCTACTTTTCCAGCTTGGCCCGCAGCGGGCCAGACGACCATTTTCCATTCGCATTGACTTTTGCACGTTTGTGCTGAGTTTTTCGTTTTGCTGCTTTTGAGTTTAGCTTGCTTCGATGTGTTGATTCTATTTGCGGTTTAGCGGCAACCACGACCGTCAACGTTCTGTTGGGGGTGTTTTCAAGCTTTCACAATGACATGGAGCGCCTTCTGGAATCCTAAACATCGCATCAGGTAACCTAGATGTTGATTGGGCTTGGTGCCGCAGGGATTTCGTCGAAAACGTTGGGCAATGCATGTTGCGTTCGTCCACAGGAAGTGCAAGCGCACAAAACACTCTCCAGCCAGCCGTTGGCACGTTCCTTCTCTGGCTTTTCACATTGCAGTTTTCGGAGTCCGACTCACCAAGTCGTGAAGCATTCGAACCCAGTAGAGCTCAGGAACCACGGGAGTTGGCGATCGGCGATACAGTACATAACAGCTACTTCTGGAAAACTCAAGAGTTTCCAGGGGTTCGTCCAGAAATATGGGGCCCAAGGTTGCAGATCCTTTGACTGGTGACAAGGCAGAAACTCCGATACCTAGATGCCTCCAGATTCTTGGAAGCGCGATGGCTGTCCTGTGTTTGGGACTCACGGCTTTGAGGTTTGGGGCCGGCTTCTTCAAATACGCGTGGCGGGACATCTAATTCACGGAAGATCTCACTCGGATCAAGATTCAGAGAAGACTAGCAACATGCACCTGAGATTCACTTTCCTTCAGGGTGACAAGCTGTGGACCAGAGCCTGGCTGCAATCTCCCGCCAACGCTGCGGCTCACTTGCGGCGCAGTTGCCCGCTACAAAGGGCCATGTATTTACCGGACACTGCTGGCACCCTGCCAGAGTGTCGACAAACAGCGGTTGCGATGTGTGATTGCGAGCCCATCCTAGGTCATGAACTTCAGAATTACTTCCGAAGTGCTAAATAAACGAACTCGCTACCCCAACCATACCTACCGGCAGCCGGCAAGAATTTCCCTAAGCATCAACCCCTGAGCTGCGCCCAGTCCTCACATCCAAGCTCTTCCACGCTGCAAGCAGAATTGTCCGTTTCTGACTGTTGGTCGGTGGACGAGTTGTTGACACCTCCGCAAAGGCATTGGATGGCACAGGAGCCGTAACTAAACGTGATGGAATTGACTTCGAGCTTCGAGGCGTCGACGCTTCGGTGGCTTAAAGCTTCATGGCATTGGAACACAGGGAAAGGAGTGCTCCGCCAATGATGCTCACGTGTACAGCAGTGAAGCTAGCAACACCAAGACCAACAGAAGTGCAGGTATGCATCAAAAGCTTCCAGAAGGCAGAAGCATCCTATTCAGTGCTGATTGCTTGAGAATTCCAGTTTTCACGGCTTGCTCGGTTGATCTGGTTCCACCTGGACATTACTGCCCGTATCAGGTGGAGAGTAAGCTAAACTAGTCGGATTACATTTCCCGGCTCTCACTTCCTAACATCGTATGAATCTGATGACTCTGAAGTTCTTACCAGTCTTTGGAGCGACAGGTGTTGATTTGGCTCGTGCTCCTGCTATTGCATAAGCTTTCTTCTAGCCGTCAATGTTCCCATTGACTTTATTCCGAAATGACCATTTCCCCTAAGAATCTGGACTTAGACTGTTCGCAAACCAGCATTTGGAAGTTGACGATCCCGAAACAGGAATCCAATCCGATCCGCACACCTTCAGAAAAAATGACTGCTGCTGCTGTTGCTCGAGCAGTACTAGGATTTGCACGAGCACGAGCGCTAGTGCCAGTGCTCGTCGTAGTAGTAGCAGCAGTAGCAGTAGCAGTAGTAGTAGTTTTTGTCAACGGTAACTAGTCACAATAGAGCCGACTCAAACACACACCTTAACACACAAAGAAATCTTTAATAATACTGTAGTAGTAGTAGTAGTAGTAGTAGTAGTAGTAGTAGTAGCAGCAGCAGCAGCAGCAGCAGCAGCGGCAGGCGGCAGCAGTAGTTTTTGGCACCCACCTGGCGCGACTATGACAGCTCCGCAGGGCAATGAGTCGGCAACTACGCAGTAGTAGCAGCAGCAGTAGAAGTAGTAGTCGTCGTCATCGTTCTCGCAGAGGTAGTCTTCGTCGTGGTAGTGGCGGTACCAGAAGTAAGAACAGTAGTACTAAAGACTCATGACCAGGATCGTGAATTTGACCGGCGTCGGTGCCACCATGAATTAGCAGTTCTTTCGTCGTTATATTCGCCTTCACTCTCACGGCATCCATCTTCGTCATCAACACCAGCATCACGCCGGGGGAACGGTGGAGCCACTCATCTTCGGCAAGTAAGGAAATGTAGTGGGACTAGCGCAACCATGCCTCTCTACCAGAAGCAGTACACAACACCTTTGGGTCAAAGTCCGAGCTTCAAACTCCAATACCAGAGATGTTCAGCTGTCCCTGCAACGAAGCTGCCTCAGCACCTCCAAATCCGACGTCTGCAAATCCTGAAGCCATCCTACAGCAAGGAGCAGTCCCTGCGACGTCTCTTTCACCTCCGGCCTCGTGGTGAGGACTGGCGACTACGATCTTCCTGGACATGCCATACGTACTCGAAACAACCAGAATAGTTCGTATAGGCGCGAGCACCAAGCCTTGACTTGACGTTCTGGGGTCGCTGTGCAAGGTCGCTTTAAACACCATTTTTCTTCGGCAGTGGTTCTGCTGTTGTAATTTCGGGCTTTGGTGGCCTCGAGCGACAGGCCCTCATCACAAGTTTTAGCAAGCCTCACATGAACTCCGGGAGGATGTCATAGTCGCCGTGGCGTCAGTGGCAGTGGCATCGGTGTCGACATCCTGCAGATAGACTCGGAGCATCTTCTTGTCTGAGGGTGTCCGGTGGAGCACACGAACCCTGGAGCTGGCTGTAGAAGCCGGATTCTAGGGGGTTCAGAGAGGGCAACAGTGCCTGACTCGCATTTCACGGCAGGCCTGCCCAGAACCGAAACCCCTCTTTCAGTGATCAATCAAAACCATGATCGCCGCCACCATCACCGGTTGTCGCCACCGTCCCTCCCTGAGCACGCCAACATCATAGATCTCACTAACGATGCCACGAGCAACAAAGGTGAGCAAAGGTTCTGCAGCTTATCCGCAGTTACACAGAGTTGGCGGAAAGCTGGACGACGTTTCCAGAACCTTTCCTTGGGGCAATGTTCCCACGAAGGTCACGTGTGCATGCCACCAGCGCATGCTTAGTTGTGCTGGCTGATACGACTAAGGCCTCCTTTTGCATAACTCCCTCCAAGATTCCTTCCTCCCCAACCCAAAAGCATGTTGCGCCAGTGCACCTGTCCGATGCCAGCCTCCTCCAACTCCAGGAGCACCTGCGATGCGCTTTTGCTTTGCTCCCCGTCTGGAAAGGTACTGTCTGTGGCCATTGAGCCCGCATTAACCACGGCGCTTGTGTGACAGGAGGGTTGCCGGACAACTCTCACAAGGACAACCGCGGAGCCATAGAAGCACCACGGATTTACATTGGCGTATTTGTGCTTGGCCAAGGGTCACTCACCCCCCACCCGCGGACCGCGGAGTGTTAGAGTCGCCAAGAGTTGGCAAAGCGAAAGTGCCGAGCACGAGATGACCAAGCATCACGCAAACCAATGTGTTGCCGATGGGGACTCGGCAACAGAATATGCAAGCTGTAAGCAGTGCAACTCTGCGATTTTAGAATTAGAGAATCACAAATCCTGAGTCCCGTCAGGGCTTGGGTCTTGGGAGTCCGTAGCTCGTGTTTCAAAGCCCTGACGTGCAGTCCGGAGATCCCACCTTTGCAGCGGCAAGCCAACCTTGGCAGTTGTTGTTTTTGCCTTCTCTGCACCAGAGCTTGGTGAGCTAGAAGTTTCAGCAAAAGCAGTTCAACTACGGACGTCCCCGTTGCAATGAACCGCTGCAATTCGGGGGTGTGCAAACGCCGACGTCTGAGCAAAGCCGCATTCTCTCTCCCGCTCAGCACGACGCCGCGCCGCCCGCCTGGCCAAGGCCAACGCCATTGGGTCTTTAACCCTTTAAAACAAGATCAATCTCGCCCAATTATCTGTTAATAATGTCCATAATCAGTTTTAAGCTGAAACCTGTGGCAGCAAACCCCGATGACCTAGGGTCTGTAGCCCAGCTTGGGTTTTGGCCGCCGAGGTGTTGGACTAAGATATGGCGACCGAATCAAGATCTTGCTTGCTGAGGTTGTTCAAGAGCTGAAGTGCAGCCTGAACCAATTGACACTTCCGGGCCGGGGCCTGCCTCGAAATCCAGTCTCTGAAAGATTTCTGCACCATGAGGATGCTCTGACGTGCCAGTCGGTACGCCAGCTCGCATCGCCAGCGCCGAAATCCTCACAGTGAAGAGCCAGATGGGGCCAGGCTTTCAATTCTCGCGGAGCCCCGAGTAATCCTGTCTGCAAGGCGATTGCGGCGCCGATGTGCTGAAGGCTCCAGAGGCGCCTGGGGCAGTGGCCAGCGGTTCACTTTTTAAGCCTGAGCCCTGAGTCGCTGTGCTCGCTTTGCGCACCGCTGCACAAAAACAGTGTTCGCTTTTGCGTGCTGCTGGGAGTTGGGTTAAAAATTACCAAACGAATCATCGGCCTCTTTATCTTGGCTCTCGAACCCAAACCTCCGCGTTCCTGCAAGACATCGAAGTGTGCACGAGGTCAAACTCCAGCCCCACACACTCCACAACCTTCGTCTCCTTTCATCTGGCTTCCGTGAACAGCCTCACAACTGAGCCCGCTTCAACCCCAACCCTGATTAGTCAGTTGCTGACAAATCTGACAGCCACA